GGGTCAATCTTCATGGAAGCACTGCTACATCTTTCTCTTGTGGAGGAACTGGGGGGTTTGAACCTCTGGCCTTTCGGTTAGCAGTCAAGTGCTTCCAGGGCTCTTCAAGGAACAAAATGCATCTCTGTAAATGGAAGGAATTTACAAAAAATAAGAGCAAAATCCGTGAAACAGAAACTAAAAAGAAACACTAGAGAAGCCAGATTCTTTTAAGGGATTAATGAAATTCCCCTTTCCCCTTTATTCTGCCTACAACAATGTTTGAGGGTTAAATAAAAATAATCTTGCTTCTTCTCTGAGATGGAATGCGACCATGTTGGGGCAGGGGCAAAGAAGGAAAAGGAATTATTAGGGGACTGAAAACAGTTCAGGAAACGATTCTATTGTCTTTTCAATCCATCCACCTCCCCGGCCCCCCCCAATGAGCTTTTTGAAGCCTCCTCATATAGAAGGGGGGAGTGAATGGCTGATTTTCCAGAAGCCCCTCACCAGGCCTCTCTGCCAAGGTGCCCCTGAATGGCCTCACTTAACCAACCATTCTTTCAGCAGCCAATTGGGAAATGGTTTGCATACCTCGGAGACTATAGAACAAACAAAAGAAAAGAGGAAAGGAAAGACTGTGATGTAGTTACAGACAAACTAACCGTTGCCGCCACGGAATCCCAGCTCCCCGTGAGCCCCTGTGCTGCACATTCTTACTCCATTCTAGAGGGGGTTCAAGGCTATGCACCCCCAGAGCAGATGGACAGGCTTTTCCCCCAAGGCATCTCTGGGTGGGGTTGAACTTCCAAGCTTTTGATTAGCAGTTGAGCAGTTAACTATTTTCCCCACCCAGGGGCTCAGTAGCAATTATAGAAAGACTTCTCCAATAAGGCCTTGAACCTAAACATTTCCATTCAATGATAATGTCATTCCTCTTGGGCTGCCCAGGAGGAGGCAGCTGGCACTGTAGACGTGGGTCATTGAAGAATGTGTTCTTAAGGGTGTCATTTGCAAAACTGTGAGCAGGCTTAGGAAAGCTACCAGGAATACAGCAGAATTCCAGGCAGTCAGAGGCGAGAACTATGACCAGCCAGAGTGAACTGAGCCCATGAGAGAGGGCCTCCCTACAGGAACTTTGGCTTTGGGATGCAGGAGGCAGCTGCCCCAAAGTATCCCTGCCATGAGGGGAGCATCAGCAGCCGATTTTGCTCCTCTT